TCATCTCTCTCTTTATATATATATATATATGGATCTTGATTAGGTCTCATGAACTTTGTTGAGTAAGATTTGTTTTTCATCAAAAACGGTGCGCTCTCTCTATAGTTGGGAACTTTTTTTTTCTCTCTAGTGAATTTTTTGGTTTTTTGTCTTCTAATGATGATTCTAATGCTTTCTATGGTTTCATGGTTTCTAGATTGATGTTTTGTGAAGTGGGTTTGTATTGAGAGATTGACACAATTTACTCTTTTCTAAAAATCTCATCACAAAGATCAAAGCATGATTGACGAGGTTGTTTTATCCCAAAACTTCACTACTCCTTTTTTGTTTGAGAGAGCTAGTTCAAATCCATAAACCAGAACTGGTAGTTCATATGGAACCCAATCTGGAATTTAAAGACATGGGCATGTTCTTCAACTGTATGGGCTTCACGGCCTCAGCACATGTAGACCCTATTGACCGAAGTGGGGGCATCTGGATGATTTGGAATCCTAATGTGGTGAATGTCAGAGTTATGGAGGCTTGCTCTCAACAAATCACAACAACTATCTCTAGACAAGATTTCCAAGACTGGGTTTTATCAGCAGTATATGCCAGTCCGAATGCCAACAAAAGAGATGAGTTATAGGAGCAACTACAAATTCTAGCCCAATCCATGGAGAAACCTTGGTTAGTTGCTGGAGATTTTAATGACTTCACCTCCCAAAATGAGAAACGAAGCTTTGAAGGAAATAATTCTCAGAGCATGAGTCAAGATCAAAGAAGGAGCAGAAAGTTCAATAACAGGCTTAACAATTGTAAACTGATGGACTTATGCTGTGCAGGACCAAGGTTGACATGGTCTAATAATCGGAAATGATGGGCCAACACTATAGTTAGATTGGACAGAGCTATGTGCAACACTGAGTGGCGAACTACATTTCCAGATGGAGCAGTCAGAAGCCTGCGTCGAACATATTCCGACCACTCCCCAATGATGGTGTTCACTCAAGGTAAGTCCCCTTTTAACCCTTCTAGTAGGCCCTTTAAATTTATGGCTGCGAGGATTACGCATAAGGACTTTAAATCTGTGGTTGAAACTAGTTGGGCTACTTCCTCACATTTCCTAAGTAAAAGCCTTGATATTCTTTCTCAAGAAGCCAGTAATTGGAACAAAAAGGTTTTTGGAAACATCTTTAGAAGGAAGAGATGGCTACTTGGGAGGATTGATGGAATCCAAATAGCCCAGGCCTCTAATTATTCCCACAACTTTCACCAATTAGAACTTGATCTTGTTGAGCAATATAACCTTGTTTTGTATCAAGAAGAGCTTCTATGGTTCCAAAAATCTAGAGCCAAGTGGATTACACAAGGTAAAAGAAATACTAAATTCTTTCACCTCACTACCCTGGCTAAAAAGAGAAGGAGAAATATTGAGATCCTCAAGAATGCTAATTGGGTGTGAGTGGGCCAACTTGACCAACTCAAAGCATTGATCACCAATTACTGTGAGAATCTCTTCGGCTATACTTCACCTGCTTTTCTCTCCTCCAATTGGAATAACCTGGTAAGGTGCCAGCTGACTCAGGAGGATAATTCTGCTCTTACCTATGACATTTCTGATGAGGAAGTGTGGAGAGCTGTCAAGAATATTAGTGCCTTCAAAGCACCTGGGAGGAATGTGTTCTAGGCTGTGTTTTACCACACTTACTTATTGGTGCTTCTGCTTGTGATTTTGTGAGACAGTGCTTTATGTCTAACCAAATCCCTGGAGAATTGAACAGAACTTTTATTGCTTTGATTCCCAAAATTGACAACCCTGAGAATGTGAAACAATTTAAACCTATTAGCCTTTACAAAGTGTCCTATAAGATCATTTCTAAAATCATTGTTAATAGACTGAGGCCCCTCTTGAATAAGATTATTTGACCTAACTAGAGTAGTTTTATCCTCGGTAAAAATACCAGGGATAATCTTATTATTACTCAAGAAATTATTCACTCTCTGAATAATAAGAAAGGTAAGAAGGACGACTTGGTTTTTAAAATTGACTTGGGAAAAGTTTATGACAATATTTCTTGGGATTTCTTAAAACAAACCTTGGAGGAATTTAACTTTGATTTTACTCTTATTGAACTTACCATGTGCTGTGTGACCACTGTTAGCACTACTATCATCTAGGATGGAGAACTTCTGGAGGAATTCACACCCTCTAGAGGGTTGAGACAAGGTGACCTCTTGTCCCCATATCTGTTTGTGCTTTGTTTAGAAAGACTCTCTAATATGATTAGTCTTCAAGCTAATAGTAAGGCTTGGAAAGGGGTGCAGACTTCCAGAGGGAGGCCTAAAATTACCCACATTTTCTTTGCTGATGACTTAATACTATTTGGCCAAGCTACTACATCCAATTGTAGTATAATCATGAAGATTATGAATGAGTTTTGTGAGCTTTCTAGCTTGAATATCAACTCCCATAAATCCAAGCTCTTTGTATCCCCTAACATTGATAGGAGGAATGCCAAAAAGTTCAATACCATGAGTGACATCCCTTTTACCTCTGATTTAAAGAGATACCTGGGTGTTCCTGTTATCCATGGCAGAGTTACCAGGGGTCATTTCATTGACATCTTAGAGAAGATGCAAAAAAGGACTGGCTGGATGGAAAACCAACACTCTTCCCATGGCTGGTAAAGCTACTGTCATCATTTCATTCCCATGGCTGGATGGAAAACCAACACTCTTCCCAAGGCTGTTAGGCCTAAAATTACCCACCTTTTCTTTGCTGATGACTTAATACTATTTGGCCAAGCTACTACATCCAATTGTAGTATAATCATGAAGATTATGAATGAGTTTTGTGAGCTTTCTAGCTTGAATATCAACTCCCATAAATAAAAGCTCTTTGTAACCCCTAACATTGATAGGAGGAATGCCAAAAAGTTAAGTACCATGAGTGACATCCCTTTTACCTCTGATTTAAGGAGATACCTGGGTGTTCCTGTTATCCATGGCAAAGTTACCAGGGGTCATTTCATTGACATCTTAGAGAAGATGCAAAAAAGGACTGGCTGGATGGAAAACCAACATTCTTCCCATGGCTGGTAGAGCTACTGTCATCAAGTCTGTGGCCTCTACTATCCTTTTTTATTCTATGCAGACAATGCTTTTGTCATCACAGGTTTGTACTATGGACAAGAAAAAAATACACCTTGTCAAATGGGATGTTGTGTGCAAAATGAGGAAATATGATGGCCTTGGGATTAAGAAAGCTAGAAATCATAATCTAGCTTTGATCTCGAAGCTGGGTTGGAATCTAATTAGCCACAAAGACAGTTTGTGGTGTGAGGTTTTGAGGACTAAATACCTCAAAAACAATTCCTTATTTAACTTGAAAAAATGAAGGCACGCTTCTCATGTTTGGAGAGGCATTATAAATACCAGGAACATTTTAAGGAAATGTGTGAAGTGGAATGTTAGTGGTGGTAAAAGTGTGAATGTTTGGAAAGATTGATGGTGTGGAAACAGTTCCTTTGAGGACATTGTCTCTAGTACCACTCAAACTAACCATGCTGTTGATAACCATTTTACCAATTTGAGAGAGCTGTTAGGGGATGATGGGAATTGGGATGTTAACCTTGTGAGGTGTAACTTTCCCCCACCCCTAGCTGCCCTTATTTTGGGGACTCTACCTCTTGTTAACACTGGGCTGGACTTACCTTTATGGAAGGGGTCCCCTGGTGGTGAGTTCTCTGTTTCATCTGTGTATAGTTTGCTGTTGGGTAATGAGAACAAAGGGGAGGACTGGACATGGGTGTGGAAATTAAGATTATCTCAGAAACTAAAAGGCTTCCTATGGACTGTTCTTCATGGGAAGCTTCTCACCAATCACATGAGACTGAAAAGGGGATTAACCAATAACCCTCAATGCCCTAGGTGTAATGGGATTGAGGATATTAACCATTTATTTAGAGATTGTTATATAGCAAAAGAAGTGTGGCTCACTGTTTTTGATAAAAAGTGGTACTTGGATATGCTAAAGAGGACTTGGATGGATTGGCTTAAGAGAAATGCTAAGAGCAAAGCCCATTTTTCTGACCAACTCTCTTGGTATTCTATTTTTGTGGTGGCTTTGTGGAAGATTTGGAAAAAACAGAAATGGTTTTATTTTTGAAAGAAAATCTGTCAGCCACCAAGAGAGTGCTAAATTCATCTTTGACTACTCTAGAGCAATCCACCAAGCATTCCTCCAGCATGTTCCACAACCCAGACCTTCATATAGACTCATTAACTGGTGCTTACCTTCTGCAGGAATATTGAAGCTCAATGCTGATGGCAGCAGGAAACTCAGTGGAGATGGAGGCTTTGGTGAACTAATTAGAGATGAATGTGGAGCTTGGGTATGTGGCTACTATGGCTACTTGCAACCAAGGACAAGCCTAGAAGCTGAATTATGGGCTCTGTATAAGAGACTCATAATCACTCTCCAAAAAGGCATGAACAATGTCATCATTGAAACAGATGCGATGCAAGTGGTGCAACTGATGAACAAGGAAATAGGTGACTATTGCCCATTCTTGAATCTGGTTGAGGATGCTAGAATTCTACTCTGAGGTTGCCAATGCACTGTCCAACATGTTTGGAAGGAAGGAAATCTTTGTGCTGATGCCCTGGCAAAATTTAGAGCTCAACAACCCGAAGACATGATGGTGGTGACTGAACCACCAGCTGAAATCCGAAGTCTGCTTGTTGCAGATATGATAGATCTATCTAAGGAACGGGCCTAGTCCCGATCTGCTGCTTTATTTTCCGATGTAACCAAAAAAGATAGTGGTGAGTTTTAGTGAAATGAATTAGAGTTTTGACGAGAGGAAGAAGATAAAGTAAAATTAATTAAATTTTGAAGAAAATGAAGAGACTTAATATGAAAAATATGTATAAATAATTAGAATATATGATGAAAAAAATATATTTTAAGATTTAGTGTAAATTATCCTTATTAATAAATTTATATTAGGATATACTAATAATTAAAATTTTAATTAAACATACTAAATTATTATTTTGGTACAAATAGAATCCTTCTATATGACACACAGCATAACATTTAGTACACATTGATGACCACGCCTCATAATGGGCCTGCATTTTGGGTCCTCAAGCTATGACACATCATAATATTTTTAGTACACATTGATGACCACACGCACCACACATGAATTGATCTTAGAAGTACATTCAAGCAGTTGAAAATTCTCTTTTCAGCTCATATTTCAGCTTCAAAACTTGATTCTGTGGCATGATTAGGGTCACAACCTTTCCTCCATTCCCATCTTTGGGCCCTGGAAGAAACAAAACAGCTCCTTCGTCTCCAACTCCATCAATGGCATAGGTCGCGTAAACAGGCTTTTGTCCCTTCAATTCAAACCCATAAAGATTGACATCCTCCAAATCAACAAAAGTCAAGTTTGATCCATAAATAACAAAATCAGAAAGTCCCTGATCTCTCTCCATTGCCTCTTCGATCTTGCTTTGCTCATCCATAGCTTGATTAATTACCAATTCCGCCAGTTCCTTCAAATTGGCTTCCATTATGGAAAAACTAGCCTCAACCACACTTACAACTTGACCGTTGCTCAAAAGACCATTTTTATGACCATTTTGGGGATTGTTTTTGCAAATCGTCACCACTTTGGGCTCAGGCCCATCTCTAATTTTGGCTATAGTCTTCCAAATAAGAGCACATAGGGACTGAAACACTGGAATTGTTTTAGTACCAACTTGGCCACACACCTTTGAGTGCAACTGACTTATCTGCTTGGTACTAAGCTGGAAAGAAAATGCTTCCATTTTGCAGTTATTGGGACTTATCCAATGGTCTCCAACTGGGCCGACCTGTTTCACAGAGAGTGGGTCTTCGGATCGTTTAAGTGGGCTTGAGGAGATTTCAATCTTAGTGTGTGATTGGTCTGGTTTGAGTGATTGGGCCGGCTTATGTCCTGCCATGACTTGGCCCCATGCATTCATGAAATCTATGGCTGAAAATGTATCTCCAAGAACATGGGCCCAAGTTAGGCCCACCGATATTCCACCGCATTTGAACCGAGTTATCTGCACAGAAAGCCCAAATAATCATGGTTAAGTTGTGTTTTTAGGTGGTGATGTGACGTTTCATACAACTAGGGTTGCAAATGAACAGAGCCGTTCGTGAACAGGCTCGAACTCGACTCGGTAAGAGCTCGTTCGAACTCGATTCATTAATTTTTTTTTGCGTTCGAGTTCGAGCTCGTTAAATTTTTAATAAACAAGCCCAAACATTCTAAAACTCGGCTCGTAAGCTCGGCTCATTAGCTGGCTCGTTTAATATTTATTATTTATATATTAAATAATATAAAAATATGTATAAAAAATAAGAGAAATATGCTATTTATATATTTAAAAAATATAAATATAAATAATAATTAACTATAGATAGTACATTTATATAATAATGGTAGTAAATATTATTATTTTAGTAAAACATGAATTTTTTTTAGTATGTTTATATATATTGTATATATAATTGTATAATCAAAGTTTTAATTGTAACTTTAGTCTCATATGTAAGTATGAATTTATAAATTTTTTAACTCGTTAAGGCTCGTGAACAGGTTCGAGCTCGAGTCACGCCTAAGCCAACTCGGTTCGAGCTCGGTTCGCTAAATTTTTATTCAACTGGAACTCAAGTTCGTTAAAATCTTAATAAACAAGGCTAAGTATACTAAAGCTCGACTCGACTCGGCTCGTTTGCACCCTACACACAACCCCACCCACATACCCAACAAAAAAATAAAAATAAATTCACATATATATGCTAAAGATTTTAAATGTCCAACAAAAAAATAAAAATATATTCACATATATATGCTAAAGATTTTAAATGAATATCAAATAATTTCCTTTCCTTTATTTAAAATTTTAATTTTGAGAGTGTCGGACAATTTTAGAAAGTACTTGCTGCAACTTCAATTCATGACGGAAAAAAAAAAAGAAAGTGGATTATTAATAAGCTACAAAAATTAATTATTAAGAAACTTGTAATAAAGACCTTCTTAACTTTTGATTTTAAATTACACTTTGTACTGTCATATTTTATATCAAATCTCATTTTGATATTATAACCGTCGAAGGCATACATTTTCTGCTAAGGTAATTTTCTGCCCGTTTCTATTTCTTCTATACTTTTTAACAATATTTTTTCTTTGTTCTAAATTTTCACAAATATATCTTTGTTATATCATTTTATATGATTTAAAAAATATATATATATATATATATATTTAGCACTTTCTAAAAGTTTAGTGGTATATAAGGAGTGTGCACAGGTCGGTCCGGGTCAAGTTTCACCTTAACTCGCCATCCATCGTATAGAGTTCACTGTCTTTGCATTCAATATCGACCGACCTTTTGATCGAAACCATCCGTATAAAATCATTTGGTTTCACGATTGAAATCGGTAGGTGGTAAAAAAAAAAAAAAAAAAGCTCACATCTTATATTTTGTAGAAAGAAAGAAATATGAATATTTATAATTTTTTTTTTAAGGTCTTTCACGCTATTTCTAAATTTTTTTGGATTCTGGATTAATCCGTCGAGGAAGTTGCCGAACGCATATGCAAGGTCCTCTCTCAAAACGATTTGCTGCATTCACAAAGGCTTGAGCTCAAAACATTTACTTAAGTAACCCAAGTCTCTTTTCACTTGAACCAACCTCCATCGGTGAATATTTATATGCACACACATGTTTTTGTCTTACAAATTGCAGCTGCAAAAAGGAGACTTTGTGAAAGTCTGAAAAAGAAATGCAATCAAAGTCTAGATTGAAGGTTGAGGGGATAGCATCTCTAATGCAATATTTTCACTAAGAGGATGAAAATAATATTTTTTATTTAAAAAGTAAATATAGAGGAGGTCATTATTCATTCAAACTCCAACCACAAACCTTCATTTCCTTCATTCAAATTTTATTCAAAAAGTAATTTTTATTCATTAATAAATATTTAATTTTAAAATTTTTGTAAAATATATTTAATATTATACTCATTTTAAAGGTATAATTTTATACTTTTTAATGATGTAAATTTTATAAAAATTAAATTTATAAATTAAAAGTTATTTGTAATATAATAAGAAATACAAAATGAATAGTGTTTTGGAGGGATCCTTCATTTTTTCATCCTCCCTTCAAATATGAAGGATGAACTCATTCTCCTCCAAAATGAAGATGAATTTGAAGGGTGGGTTGGAGGAGACCATCCTTCATATTTGAAGATATGAAGGATGGGTTGGAAATGCTCTTAAGGATGCCGAAATGAGATGGCAGAGGAAGAATTGGGAGTAAACATGGAGTGCAATCGTCAAATGGAAGCCATCAAATCTAGATCTCATATTGTTTCTCTTAAGATAGTGAGAGAGTTGTCATGAGAGAGAAAGGTGTGCTAACATTGAGATTTTGAGATAGAGCGATGAGAATATCTAAGGTCTCGTTTGGAAACAGGTTAATTTATTAATTTTTTTAGTTATTTAACTAACATATGAATTAAAAAAAATTAATATGTTTTGGATAACTTTTTAGTTTTTTACGAAAAGATGGGCAAAAAGTAGAGAGAAAAGAGAATCTTTGACTTTTTGGTATGGATTGTTGATTTTTTGGTTAATTTAGTAACTTTTTGATTTTTTGACTAAAAAATATAGGGTATGTTTGGTTTGAATTTCGGAGATGAGTCTTAGAGATAAAAAGTACGAAAAATTATTTGGTTTGGTTTTTTTCAAAAGATGTTTTGAAAAATTATTTTGAGAGAGAGATTTGTTTGGAAAACTTGTAAACCAAATAAGTTTTGAGAAATTTTTTTGAAAAAATTTATTTGATTTAATTATTTTTAAAAACTTATTTGTAAAAAAAATTTTTTAAAAATTTTTAAGAAGCACAACCCAAACAAGGTTATAGTTCCCAAACGTGGGCTAAGACTGTAATCCATGTAATTGAAGGAAAAGAGAAGCTATAAATGTAATGGAAAAGAGAGAGAGAGAGAGAGAGAGAGAGAGAGAGAGAGAGAGAAAACAAAAGAAAAAGAAAAGAAGAAAGAAGAAAAACCAAAAATAAGAGAGTTGAAAAAGAGAGAGTTAGGTAGAAGAAGAGAGTAGAGAGAGAGTATGTAATTAATGTTTCAAAAATGATTGACAACTAAAAAAAAAAAGAAAAAAAGAAAGTGCTCTAAAGGAGTGGGCTCACTTGTGATTTAGGGGTTGTTTAGAATGTTTTAAATAAGTGTAATTTTTTATTTTTTATGAAATATGAATTGAGTTTGAAATAATGTAGTAGAGAGATGATGTGATTTAAATAAGATGATGTGATTTAAATAGGATAGTGACTTATTAATTTTTTTGACTTATTTTAAAGATGTCAAATTTGACTTTAATGTGATGTGACGTATGTTTCTAAGTATTTGTTTGTTTTTTTTTTTGTTACACGTGTGAAGCACTCTTGAGAATTCAAATACTAAAACTCTTCATCATTATTATATAGATGTATACAAAACCAATTTTTTGTATAAGAAGAGACAAAAAGTGTTGTAATGTAATCAATTCAATGTAATGGAAAGATGGAGTTGGGTAGACGAAACAAAAAGATGAGAGAGACAGTGTGGGTGTAAATTAAGGTATTATCTGACAATTTTTTATATTAAAATATTTTTTAAATTTTTTTAGATCACATTATTATTTTTATTTTTTTATAAAAAATTAAAAAATATATTTATTTAGATAATTCTAAAAATTCTCTCATATTATATGAGTAGATGAATAATATTATATGTATCAATTAATACACCAACTAATATATCAATTGATGATGTGATATAATTTAAGAAATTTTTTATATTTATAATTTGTATAATAAGTGAACTCAATAATAATGTTATAACTAATCTTGGTGAAAACGAAGTCACTACTGTATTACAGCGCTGCTTCAGACCCCAGTGACGTGGCGTCTTGCCATTCGCTAAAAAAAAAAAAAAACAAATTTTTTTTGGGGCCAATCACAGGTCTACACGCACGACCCCCAGTGACCCCCACTGGGGTCTTAGACATTTTTCAATGTATTAAAGGTACAATAGTGACTGTTGTGCCTCAATTTAAGACGTATTATGGACTTATTTTTATTATCTGAACTGTTTATTTTGTAGGGTTTGTTGAGTATTTCATGTGTACTAAAAATCATATTAATCGGATATCAATAACTATATGATCAAATTGTATATTTATTATGCTATTTCTTAAAAGAAAAATGTATTGTTTATTTTTTTGGTTATCGATCATATAATTATTGATATCCGATTAATATGATTTTTGATAAGTATAAAGTACTTAACAAATCCTACAAAATAAACTATTCATATCATAAAAATAAACCAATAATATATTTCAAATTGAGGTACAATACTGTTGTGCCTTTAGCACAACAATAACCTTATTTCCAATGTTGATATATACTTAGGTCTCGTTTGGAAACAAACTAATTTAGTAACTTTTTGGCTATTTGGCTAAAATATGAGCTAAAAAAAATTAGTATGTTTGGGGATGACTTTTTAGTTTTTTACGAAAAGCTGTACAAAAAGTAGAAAGAAAAGAGAATCTTTAACTTTTTGGTATGAATTGTTAGGCTTTTTAGTAACTTTTTAACTTTTTAGCTAAACCGATCGCTTCCCAAACGAGGCCTTAATACACTAATAAATGTATGTAGAACTACCATAATAGATTGATGCAAAACCCATTTATTATAAAGAAGGAGAAAGAAAGTGACAGTTTGATTTTTCAAGGATTAAAGGGTAGACGAAATGAGACGAGAGAGAGAGAGAGAGCGCGCAATTAAAGCTATAAAATATAGGATAAATTATAAATATTGAGATTTTTAATTTTATAATAAATTATTTATTTTATTAATAAATTATTAAGTCAATTAACAATTTTTAATGATATTAAAAATATATTTCAATTAATAATTGAAATAATTTTATTATTGATAGTAAAGCAATTATGAATTTTATTTTTTTAATTAATTCTGTTAAATAAAAAATTGTAATAAGAGAATATTTGTAATTTTTTAAATTAGAAGGATTAAATTATATTTTAAACAAACCTTAAGGGGATATTTATAATTTACGCTAAAATATAAAATTCATTTCCTGAAAAGAATGAGAGAGAGTGTCAAATTTGGTTTTGCAGGCAAGAGTCCGGATCCTCTCCTTAATTTTCTTACTTGGCTCCCTACTAGGAACGGTCCAGATTGGGTCAAGGGAGATGGGCAGGTCAGATCATTTAATTAAAAAAAAAAAATTCAAACCAATTTTTTGCTAAAAGTGTGAAAGAAGAGAGAGAGTTGAGCAATCGAAAAGAAAGAGAGGGAGAGAGATACGCATCGACGAACCACCATCACCGTTTGTCCACCGGCAACAACCATCTACTATTTTTCACTGGCGACCACCATCCATCAGCCATTGTTTCTACTTTTATGCCTTCCCATAACTTGGAGTAATTGAAAAAATAATAATAATAATAATAAAATCATCAAACCCAGATTTTTGAAGTTTTGATCAAATGCCAAACAATAATTCAAATTTCACAAAAATAATAAATCAAAATCCAAGAAAACAAAATTAACAACAGCTTATTTCTTTCCTCTCCCTCTCTTTCTCTATACGTGTTCCACCATCTCTCAATAAATATATATATATATATATATGCGAATTTATATCTATCACTCTCTTGATCTCTCTGCTTTGTAAGATATGTGAAATCAAGCAGTTGAAACTAGCTTTGGTGTATAATATGGGAAAAAATCTTAATGGGTTCTTTGGTCTTTTTGCTTAATTTATTGTAATTATATATATATATACACATTGGCAACCCAGTTATGGAAAACTTTGGAAGGAATTGAAAGATTTTGTTCTCTAGGCCCTTGTTTTAGGCGATAGAGTGGCCATTAGGGTTGCCGTTGGAAGTGGGTTATCGTAAACAGGGTCGCTGGTGAGATGGGTCACCGATGAGCTGGGTTGTGTGAGGTGGAGGAGAAGAGGGTGAGGGTGAAGGTAATACTCTCTCTCCTCTTTCACACTTTCAGCAAAAAATTGGTTTGAATTTTTTTTTTTTAATGAAATGATCGAAGTCGCCCATCTCTCTTGACTCAATCTGAGCCATTCCTAGTGGGGAGCCAAGTAGGAAATTTAAGGGGAGGATCCGAACTCTTGCAAGCAAGCCCTTATAAATTAGTGGAACAGACAGGTGTCGTGCCCTCATAAATTCACACTATCAGATCATCCTAGGAATTCACTCTAGAGGAGCCCAACGCCTGGAAAAGTAATAAAAAAGCAATACGTGGATGTAAAGCTATATACTTATATATATATATATTTGTGTGCTATATCGCTCGGTTCGAATTTTTTGGTTTTGATTGAGCTATATCTATTTTCAATCGTCAAACCGCCAAGTCTGCAGAGTAACACCCATAGCCGATCCAAGCATCATTTGAAACCGTTTGGTTCAGTACCGGGTCGAATCGGACTGAGCGGGTTTATCGGGTTATACGGGTTTGTGCACACTCCTAGTAGTAACTATGATGATATTTTTTTTATTACGTCCATTGTCGAAATTGGAAGGGTGTTGTGAATCCGTAGGGGTGTTTTTTAAATTTATTTCGATAATTTAAATTGTTCATATCATAAAGTTTATAAAATAAATTATTTATAAAAAAAAATCAAATCAATTAGTCAATATATATATATATATATATTTGTGTGCTATATCGCTCGGTTCGAATTTTTTGATTTTGATTGAGCTATATCCATTTTCAATCGTCAAACCGCCAAGTCTGCAGAGTAATACCCATAGCCGATCCAAGCATCATTTGAAACCGTTTGGTTCAGTACCGGGTCGAATCGGACTGAGCGGGTTTATCGGGTTATACGGGTTTGTGCACACTCCTAGTAGTAACTATGATGATATTTTTTTTATTACATCCATTGTCGAAATTGGAAGGGTGTTGTGAATCCGTAGGGGTGTTTTTTAAATTTATTTCGATAATTTAAATTGCTCATATCATAAAGTTTATAAAATAAATTATTTATAAAAAAAAATCAAATCAATTAGTCATTTATAATCTATAATAAGACTACATTTATGTTTTAAAAAAATAAACTGTTAGTATAAATATGTTGTTGTGATAATGATTGAGATCCCCACCCCACAAGAGCTCCACAAATTTACATTACTCATAATATGGACCCTACACATATATGGAGGGCCAAAATCATTTTAAAAATATGGAGGCCATCTCCAAAAATGATCCTAAATATTTTTCATAAATAATATACTTGACAAACTCTTATAATTGAAATAATTCAAGTTATCAAAATAAAATGATACAAATCTCAACGAAACTGTCATAGCGGGGCGGCACCCTCCCCTAGTCCTTTATTATCACAACATATGAAAATCACTTTCTTTGGTTGTTAGATCTAACTTTCGTTTTTTTTACATGCAAATATGGAATGGTTTATTGTGAGTGTAGAGATTTCAAAGTCTATAATGGGCAAATTCACAAAAAAAGAAAGATATCATTTTCGTTGCATTAATTAGGGTCTTTTGGTAAGTAGTTGTTTTAGCTAAAATATTAAATAAATAATAAAAAAAAAGGTCTGAAAATTTCTACTAATTGAAAAAACATGCCTTCCTATTTATTTTACAGAGTCAAAATTTTTTTCCCATTCACTCTATTTTTTTGTATTTTTTTTAAAAAATAAAAAAATTCTTTACAAACCTATTAATTTTTTTCACCTCACAATTTAATTAAAAAAACCACTGAGAAAGTAACTTTTCAAATGGGACCTTAGCCTTTTCACTTTATTTAAATTGTTCTAGCTTATAGTATAGAATTTATATCACAAAAATGTTCAGAGCTCTAGAGCAAGAGCATGCACTAATGATGTGGCAGTTGTATGATGTTTTGGCTTATTTTATTTTGGTGGTGTATGGGAGGAGTTTTTTTTTGGTTAGTTTTTTTGCTAAAAGACAAAATAGGTTAAAAAATAATAATAAAAAAATTCAGACAAAATATCACATCAAATTCATAATTATTTCACTTTTTCTTTCATAAACATCACATCCAACTACAAAAAAATCCATTTTCCCAAACACAAAAAATTTTTCCTCCAAAAATAATCAAAAACTAAAAAACCTACTAAAATAACAACTTTCCAAACACCCACTTAATTTTTTTTCGAAAAAATCATCATTGTATAAACACTTTGGCACATATTTTTCAAATAATTTTTTTTTATATAAATAGCAACCTAAGCTACACCAAAACAAGGTCGAGAGAGAGAAAAATACTATTTACACAATTTTTTGTGTACATGTGAGAGTTTCTATGCGTAAAAATTACGTACGTGTATCAATGCTGAAAGAGAAATAGCAGTACCTGCAAAAGAACAAGAGGAGAGAAAGGTAATTCAGGACCAATGACTTGGTTGTAAGAAAGCAACTTATGAAGGTCACCATTATCATCATCATCAACATCCTTCACCATCTCAAGCCACTCATCAATGGTGTTGACACAATGGGCTTCAATGAGCCTAACACCACAGTCATTACACTTGATGTAGGGACGTCCCGAGGACTCGGACCTGCGAAACCGACCACATGCGACGTAGAAATAGTTCAACAAGGTGAACGAAGACTCCTTCATGTACGTGATGGTTAACCCTTCAAGTGCTTGGCTACTGAAGTAGTAAACACCTCTTAGGTAGTGGAGTTTCATGGCTAAGTCCATGTTTGTTGGCTCATGAACCACGTCTTGTCCTGTTACCTTTCCTGGCCCAACTGATGAAAGTTTGATTCCATAGACTGGGCTTTCTTCCTTGGAAGATACCACCATGATGCGGAGGGAGGGAGAGAGAGAGAGAGAGAGAGAGAGAGAGAGAGAGAGAGGGGGGTTTTCGTGAATGGTTGATGGGGTTTCAGAGAAGGATGTAATAGAGGGTCCTTTGTGGTTGTGGTGAGTGGATCATGGGCTTTTGATAAAGATATATATAATAGGGTGATTGTTCAATATTTTTGGAGTATTGACCCGTGGTGTTCTATAAAATTTTAATTGGTAGAGAGAAGTAGGGCCCATGATTTATGTTAGGGATAGAGGAACGGGCTAAGTAATTAGTGATGAGTCTAGAGTATAGTCACGTGATTTTTTGAGATTATTGAGTAATTTCCATATAATATATAGGGTATTTACACATTGGGAGAGGCTTATCTCCGGTTCATACAGTGAACTAAATTGTGCTATTAGGCCCGTGAAGTTTATCATGGATCTTGCTTTTATTATTTGAATCATTTGATATGTAGAATTCGTCGAGTACTTCATATTTGAAAAAACTCACGTTGATCGAATATCGATAGCCTCTTGATCAGAACACATTTTTTTAACAATTTATTTTTAAATCATATTTATCATTGACAAAAATGTGTTCCGATCAAAGGGCTATTAATATTCGATCAACGTGATTTTTTGCAGGTATAAAATACTCAATGAGCTCTACATATTGAATCGTTCGAATTATCGAATCAGAATCCATGGTATACCTTACGGGCCCAATAATACGCTCTAATCTACAGAGTAGACTGGACAGAAACTTCTCCCTTACACATTAATGGTGAGAAAATAATATTTACAAAATGTGATAAATATTATAAATATTAATAATTAAATTTATAATGAATAATTTTTTTAAAAAAAATTTGTAAATATTTTTTCAAGTCATACTGAGGTTTAATTCCCCAATATATATTGGGTAATGCTAGTTTAGTTTAAAAAAATCAAAAATGATTGAGGCCTCAAATTTTTTGGCTCAAATTTGCCTCGAATTTGCTTTTTTTTTTTTTTTTTTTTTTTTTTTTTTTGGGTTTTTTTTTTTTTTTTTTTTTTTTTTTTTTTTTTTTTTTTTAAATATTAATAATTAAATTTATAATGAATAATTTTTTTAAAAAAAATTTGTAAATATTTTTTCAAGTCATACTGAGGTTTAATTCCCCAATATATATTGGGTAATGCTAGTTTAGTTTAAAAAAATTAAACTCATTTTTCAAACTCAATAGTGTGATAATCTATTAAAATATCTAAAGCAATTCTCTCTTATGTATTTTTTAATTATCAATTAATTATGTCACTTACATATTATTGAGTTTAAAAAATAATCTAACGTATCATTTTTCATATATATAAAATTAAATTAGCGAGATGCAACAAAAATAATATGCGAAGGGAGAAAAAAATTAAGGAATAAGCCTGTAAACGTAAAAATTGATCAAGAATTGGATATAGATTTTATACCAATAGATATATATATATATATACATATATAGTTTTTTTTTTCTTTAAAAACAAAAGTAGATTTTTTGAATAACTTTTGTAAAATTTTGTTAATTTATGCATATTTCGTGTTTGATTTTATAGTTAATTTCTGTTTTCATAACATAATTAGATAATAAGCCTAAGGTCTCGTTTGGAAAAAAGTTATTTCAGTAATTTTTTAATTTTTTACAAAAAGATATACAGAAAAATAGAAAGAGTAATGTGATAATTTATAATAATTTTTTAATTTTTTAATTAAAATAGTTACTCTCCAAACGAGACTTAAGAATATAAAAATGATCTCAAAATTGAACACATTATATATATATATATATATATATATATTTACGAACTTTTTTTAAAACGAAAAGTGACCTCGTTTACAAATCATGTAAGATTTTATTATTCATAAATATTATATATTTTATTTTTATGGTCATGGCAAAATTGAGGGCAAAATTGAGAGAGGAAGTGGAGTGGTACAAATAAATATTGAGTATATTATATTACCAACTAAAAACAATAATGAAAACAAATGTTTTTTTAAATGGTTTTTTTTTTTTTTGGCTATGTTTATTGGGTTGTTTGGCTTTTTAACTAAAAAAAGTAGAGAAAAAAAAAATTGTATGTTTATGATAATTTTTGAACTGTTTAAAATATTGTAATAAAATTAAAATGATCATTCTATCTTTATTAACTTTTTGACTTTTAGGTAGTTAAATTCAAAAAGTAACATAATTTTGCATTCTAAGTTTCTCTCAAATAATTTGAATGTTTTGACTTTTTTTAATAATTTTTTAACTTTTAATTTTTTTTTTAAAATTATCCTCAACAAAGCCATTTATGGTAGTATTTTACTCACTTATAATAGGAGGAGGGTATTGCTGTGCTTAATGCACAATAGTTATTATTGCGTTTTTTATAAGGGATTGTCCGGAGTATTTTTTGATAATCTGAACCGTTCACATTATAGGGTTCGTCGAGTAGATCATCCATACAGAAAAATCAATTTGATTAGATATCTATAACCCTATCACCAAATTACATTTGTTTTTATAAAAATTAACAATTAACATAACTTTTATAAACTTTTAAAAATAATTATGAATTAATCATAAGGTTATGAACATTCAATTAATTTGATTTTTTATATAAATAATATTCTTTATAAATCCTATAATATAAACGATTCAAATTATTAAAAAAAATAAGTGAGACATTCTCCCTCAAAGGGCGCAGCAGTACCCCTTCTCCGCCTATAGTAATATTATGAACCCTGAGTCCGGATTCTCGGTCGCCCTACACGGCAGCCCCCAAAACGACGTCGTTTTGGGGGCAAATTTTCAAAAAAAAAAAAAAAGGAAGGGAAGGGCCGGCCGGACTGGAGGGGGCCATAACCAGTGGGGGAGGAGGCGGAGGCGGAGGCGGAGGCAATGGCCGTGCACAGCTGCTACGACCAGCTGGACGGCTGCGATGGCCGGCGGCATGGCGACGAGCTGCGATGGCGGATGGCGCAGCCTCCTCCTTCCTCCCTCTTCTCCCTCTCCCTCCCCCCTCTGGCTTCTGTGAGAAGAGAGAGAAAACAAGAACGAAGAAGAAGAAAAAAAAAAAAAAACAAAAAACAAAAACAAAAAATCCTCAAAACGACGTCGTTTTGGGGGGCTGCCGGGTAGGGCTGCCGCGTAGGGCAGCCGAGGATCCGGATTCTATGAACCCTTCTCCGCCTATAATACTCTATGTAAGAGAAAGGGACGTGTGTCCGATTTAAGTTTTGGATAGGATCGAGGGTGTAATTGTAGCACACTCAGAATATATTTTTGATGATTTGATTAGTTCAACTTGTAAGATTAATAAAATAGATATTAAATTAATTAAATATTGATAATTATTTGATTAAATTATATTTCTTTTAAATAAATAAAAGATAAATATGATTTCAAAAATAGTTCATTTATTTTATTTTTTTCCCGTACAAATATAAATCAATCATGTGATTATCAAATGAATGATCAATTTTTTTTTTTTTTGTATAAATAAATAATTGACTGCACAAATTTTACAAATTAAGCAATTTAAATCACCAAAAAAGATCTTTGTCGATCCCACAGTCATAAAAAAAAAAAAAAAAAATCACACTTGTGTTCTAGTTTAAACTGGAACAAGTTAAAATGTGTCACCAACTCAATATTTATTTAGGGGGAGTTAAGATCTTCCCCTTGCACTCCCTCTTTGCAGGGTTTTTGGGCTCGTTTTTAGGCTCAATTTTGATAATTCGAACTGTTTATATTTTAAAATTTATTCAGTATATCATACCTGTAAAAAATCAAGTTGATCGGATATCAGAAAGTATGTGTTCGGAAAAATCAAACTAAAAATTATTTTTTAAAGAATTTAATAAACAATTTTCCGAATACATGTTTTTTGATATCCAATCTACTTGATTTTTTACAAATATAATATACTAAATAAATCTTAAAATATAAATAATTTAGATTATCAAAATTGAATCTAAAAGTGGACCGAAGGCTATGCAGGAGGGAGTGCAAGGATGTGCGTGTGCAGTAGTTTCTCTTTTTATGGAGAGAGAGAGAGAGAGAGAGAGAGAGGGGTAGGTGTTTTAATGGGAGAACGTTGGGAAATTTAATGGTGATGTTGTGGCGTGTAACATTTCTGTTGCAGGCCCTCAGTGAAGTAGTTCTACACAGTGCCTTGCATTTAGAGGTATGCGTGGTGCGGTTTAAGCGGTTTGAAAGAAAAATTATAAATTAAATGATGAGTTAGTGGATTGATAAATTGTAATTTTTGACAGATTGGCAGATTGAAAAATATTCTAACTAATTATTATACATTTGTATAATATATGACACTAATTTATATAATATTTTTTAGATATATTACACAAAGTAATTTTACATAATATGTTCCATATATATAACCACTAATTTGTAATAAATTTCATATCTTAAATCTCTCTCACACTCATTTTTACATTGATATTTTATTGGAAGTTAAAAAATATATATGTATTAGTTATAGTGAAGCGGAGGGGTTCTGTTGGCGGATTAAAAATTTTAAAGTTTAAACCGCGGTTAGCGATTAGAGCGGTGCGGATTGATGCGGATCAGTGCGATTTTAACGGATTGGACGGTATTTACAACCCTACTTGCATTCAATGAAATTTTGGAATATGGATTCGCCTCTTAATTTTTTAGTTTTTTGTCTATTTTAATTTGGGGATAAAAAATTTCATTTGAGATAGACTTTTTGACATTTTTAATTTTGTGAGAGAAAAAATAAAATAATTATAGGTTGAATGTGACATTTTGTTCTATTTAACTAAAATAATATATTTTGTCTTATATGACTATTTTAGTCTAAATATTTTTCCCAAACAAGCTCTTAGGACAACAATGTTATGAACATGATTAAATCAATCGATAAATATGTTTACTATAATGTTAGGGGAATTTCATTGCAAGTCATAAAATTCATATATAAATTTTATATTTTAATTAGGAGTATTGTTTTAGACTTACTTTCTAAATTTAGTGATGTGTCAAGAAGATGATAGGTTGATTCTTGACACATCGTCTAAAAAATAAATTTAAAAAGTAGACTTGTATATCATTTTTCTTTAATTA